ATAAAAGTCTGTCACAGATTTCAACTAAAGCTAGATCTTGTGGTCCCCATCTACAGCCACATAAGCCTGAACTTAACCCACATCTTGGAAGCATCCCTATACTCATGGGATTTGCTCATGATATCACACTGCACAAACTAAGCAGGACTGCATCTAGTAAGCATCCAAATTGGATTTTCTCAGAGAGATCTCCCAAGGGCAGTAGAAGGTGGTGTTAATAACTGGTGACAGGGCACTCCTCTGAGAAAGAGCTGGTAAAGTCCACAAGTAACTTGAAATGATAGATGCTATTTAAAAGTGCAATCTATTCATTACTATTAAGCACAGAGGGAGTTTTTCCATATTCATTCTTCCTTAAATAGCACCTGGCTTGCCAAGCACAGGCGCCCCTGTAAAAGTAACTGCTATTCAGATTATTACCTGCGTGTATCCCCAAGTTTTCTAAAATTCAGTCATTTTCAAGGCAAGGACATGTTGTTATTTTGCTCTAGCAGTTGTATTTCCAACGCATTAAAAATCCAACCACAAAAGGAGAGCAGCACTTAATGTCTAAAGAGATGCGTTACAACAGCAGACTGGTTAATCCAGACACCAAGACAAACACCAGCAAGACATTATTTCACAAAGATGCTAAAGGTGAAAGACGCAAGCGCATTATGTGACCTCACTGCCAGCTGACTGAGAAGCTGCATTATCCAAATCAAATGGATTCTACAAATAAAAAAACCAAGCATGTCATTAAGTGAGCAACACATGAGAAAAGTTAATGCATCAACCTGCAAGAGCACCTATATACTGTATGGTTTGAGGAAAATTAAACTCAAAAGCAAATATCCTTCCCTGCAACCCCTCCCACACACACCCCAGCCCAATACATTTTCTGCCTGGACTTTGCCCTCTTGGCTCTGATTAACCTTCTTAGCACTTCCTTTCTACTCTTCTCTGGATATTCAAAGTAATGAAAGCCTTTCACTTTTCACAGTTGTAACATACAAAGAGCAGGGTATCAACCATCTTGTATTCAAAGCTTTGCTCCCACCCTGCTCGTAGTACAAGCAATATGAACCAGGATGAAGAACCTCCCAATTCTACTTTGGAACTGAGCTGGTACGTGGAAGCGGACCTGAGGGGTCAAAAACAAGAAGGGAATGGAAAGGGCAAAGTGAGACAACTAAGAAAGGAAAGAAAAGCGAAAGTACAGGGGGTGATTGCAATAAAAGGTAAAAAGAGACCATGACAAACACTGAATTGAGTTGAGAGAGGTAGTTAGTCACGTTAGTCTGAAGTTAGTATGGAGGCAGGGCAGGCTGGCCCCTTAATGACTCTCTGAACAGGTTAGTCTATAAGGAGTCATCCTGCCCTGTCCTCTGACAAATTCCAAAATGCTTGCGTATTCTTGATGTCACTAAAGAAGTAAAATTTAGAGACTCAGTTAGGTCCACCAGCATCTCACAGAAAGGTAACAGCATGACTTCAGGAACCCAGATGCCCAACTCAAACTTTCCAGTGTGCTCCCACACTTCATCCAGTGCAGCAGCTATGAAACAACCAAAAGGGCACAACATTCTGGGAATCAGACATTCTGACCAAAGCTCAACTCCCTCCTTTCATGCAGTGTTCACTACCTTTGATACCTGTTTAATTGCCTTTCCAGAGACTGCAAACAATACAGAGCCTCGGCTTACAGATGCCATACTCCACATGCCTGTTCCGTAGAAGAGACATGGTAGACCGAGATATTTATGTTGCACGAGGAGGTTTCTTGGTCACAAAAAATCACCTCTGAATACCTGCCTGCTGCTAACAGACAACATGAAGTTTTGTTCCCTGAATATAAACAAAAATGCTATGGACATATCCTGACAAATATTTTGTCCTGCTGCTTCTTTCCTATCCCCATCCCTGACTTCAATTTTTTCCTTAAAAACTAAAAGACATCAATACAAGAGGAAATACTTTTCTTCCTCAGCCGCATGGAAAAAGACAGTTGACATTAAACTGCTGATTTTAAACGCAGCAAAAAGTTAATAGCAATGCATCCCAAGCCCTGGACTGGGCCTGGGACTAATAACTTAAAGAAAGAAGCTGAATACTGAGGTGCCAACTTGACAATAACACAAGTTAGTCAAAACCTGAGAAGACTGTGAGCAACTTCACCAGGATCCTAACAGGATTAAGAGAATGGGCCCTATAGTGGGAGAGTAAATTTGGTACTGACAAAGACAAAATGATGTAAATTATTCCTTTCAATTTAAAGTACAAAACACATATTACCTGGGATCTAAATTAATTGCAACTACTCAAGAGATTTGGGCAATGTTATGGATCTCTTAACAAAAGCCTCAACCCAATGCACTGCAAGCAGCCAAAATGAAGATTTTAGGGTGCATAAGGAAGACTATATTAAAAATATGTCATTATATCTATGCATAGTACCCTCTTCTCCTGGAATATTCTCTTCAGGTCTGGTTACCTATCTAACAATACAAAGGCAGGAATACAGTTTCAAGACAGCTGACAACAACATCAGAAGCCTGAAGGAGTTGGAACTTTCCAAGATAAGAAAGGGGATTGAAATGGAGACAGCAAGAGGCATGCAACACAAGGAATAGTACAAAGAAGGTCAACCAGGTGCTTCGGCTTTTCCCTTCCTCAATACAGGAGAAAGCCTTGGTGCAATCAAAAAAGCAAACATCACAATTAATAAAGGGGAATCTTAAATTTTGCTCTGCTCGTGGTTTAAGTAATATCTTGTAGCCAGGAACTCACAGTAACTTATAAATTGTAAGGAATAAGGATTGCAAATGTGTGTGGATGAGAATATCCACATATATAATTTGTGTGAAATCTAAAGAGAAATAAAACCCTCATGCCTCAGGTCATGAGGCATCTGCTAACATCCCCTATCAGCAGGTTATTCCTTTACTTGTTCATTATAGTTTTCTGCAGCTTTCCTCTGAAGCACACGGTACTGGCCATGGAAGCAGATAAACTACAGGTCTAATCCACAGCGATAGTTTCGTTTCAGAATGTGTTCCAACAGGGACAGGTGGATGAGAAATGCTCAAGAGGCTTAGACATCAATTCCACTTTTACCTGAATAGCAGGAGATTTTCTTTTTTAAAGATTACAGCCCTTAAATCTTCCTGCTGCTTGCCATGAAACCCTGAGTGCCAAAAAAAACACAACTAAAATCCATCACAAAAGAGTGTTACCACCCTTAACAGAATGTGCGGGTAAGATCTTTGCTAGTAAGTAGATAGGGAATGGATTCCCCTCAAATTGCAGAACACCAAATACATCACGCTGTACTGAAAAATATCTGTGCTCACCATCTTTGCAAACCCTAACAGATCTGCAGAAAGGAAACATTAAGTCACCAAGACTACACTGTTGAGAGACAAGATGTCATCCCACTGATAACATTTGATAACACCTTCAGCAGCACTTTGACACCTCAAATACGCAACAGGGAGTTGACTAGGGCAAGGAGGAAATGGAGCACTGGTTATCTGGTGAATGTGAGGTTCTCAGAAGAAATGGCTAACAGACAAGGTGGTGGAGAATAGCAGAAGGCAAAGTTACTACATGTGGCTACCTTGAAATCAGAGAGGGATGCCATCAACTCATCCAGTTCTCGTGTGGCTGAAGAAGCAGATATGCGAGTTTGCTGCTGGCTGGAGGTGACCCGCTGTGGGCTGGTCATCTCACCCTGGTTCACAGTGATTGCAGGGCTGACAAAGCAAAACATGACAAACCTTAAAGTGACACTGGTGAGAAATCCCTGACTGACACCCTCAGTTACTGATATTTTCCATTTAATCTCTAGAACAGCATCAGGCCAATTTCCTCCACATTCCCCTCCCTACTCTCAGCATGCCCCAGCCCAGAAAGACCTCCCACCTCAGGAAACAGGTTGCCACAGAATTGTCAGGCTGTGACTGCCAAAGGTGCCAATTAGTATCTGTCTGCAATGTGGGCGCTCAACCTTTAGGACCTGGACTAGGATGAACTGGACTATTTTATTTGTCAAGGAAGACAATTTTCAATCAGCTCCTGGCCTTGATTGAATATGTGCCTCTAATGGTCAAATAACCCATGAACAATTATTTATTTTTCCAACATTAGCAGTTTTTGACAAACAACAGCTGCAGTAAATGGAAACCTAACAACAAAAGCAGACACAGCCACAGCAGTCGTCTTCCTCCTGGACTTTCCCCAGTTTGGAGACAGCAAATCTTCCCTCTTCAAAGAAGAGATCATTGTCCCAGGCTAGCACTGCACACTCTACTCTGCTGTCACTAAACAGTTATCCCCATTCTGCTCCAGTTCCAAATCTCACCCACATGAGCACAAGCAGGGTCACTACTCACACTGGAGTTGGCACAGAGCTTTCCAGTTCATCCAAAAGGCTCTCCACACTGGGACGCACATCCTCAATACCTCGCCCTCCATTCCGCTTTGGCTTCTCTTTTGTGGGAGGTGCTGCCTTCACTACCAAAGAGCTACTGGTTTCAGGGGTGACATAGTGAGGTCCAGTCACACTAGGCAGTGAGGAACTCCTGTTGGTTTCATCTTACAGAGGAAAAAAAAACAAAGGAAGTCATTTAGACTCCACAACTGGAGTTACTTCTCTCACAACAAAATCAAAGGCAGGTGCAACATGGAGAGGCCAATAAGGAGGATGAAAAGAGCATGGGAGCAAGAAAGTCAGAAGGGGATTTACAGTGAGGTGCAGGATCCAGATATCTACAGGTATAACACTGATGAATGGGTCACCACTTCCTACCTGCTGGGAAACTACTAGGGGGATTGTGCTGCACCGCATTCAGTTCCAGAAGCAGTCGGTCCAGTTCTGACAGGTTGCTGCCCAGTGAGGAGCTTGTCATGGTGGGAGATGGTTCTGCAGACTTCTGTTTGTTGGGAAAACTGAAGTCGAGAGAGCAAGAGTAAGATATTAGTCCCCCTACCTTACTAAAACAGGCTGCATCTCTGCTTTCCTAATTACCAGGAATCCAGGTTTTCTGTTTCCTGCAGAAAACCATGGATTTCCCCCCTTTCCATGATTTCCCCCTTTAAAGGAGAACAACTTGGGAAACTGTGGGTTTCTCCTTGCAGCTGGCGTTGTTGCAGCCGCAAGGGGCTGCTTGGGGCTGGGGAGAGCAGGAAGAGGGTGACCAGCGACAGGGGGCACCATGTGCATGTGTGTCTGGGGTGGGGAAGGGGAGGCTGGGGCCTGGGGGTGGGGGAACTGTTGGTCACAAGTAAGGAGCACCAGCAGGGCTGAGGGGAGTGGGGGGCTGAGTTGGGAGTGAAGGGAAATGGAACAGGCAAGGGCAGGGCACCAGCATATCAGGGCTGCTCAGCACCACAAAGCAGCAGTGGGGACAGCTGTAGTTGGACCCACATCCTGGTGAGCAAAAGGGGGTAGAGAGCTCTGATTTTCCATGGCAAAAAAAAATCAAAACGCCAATATATACAGGTATGTAGAATGTATTTTATTATAATGATTGAGGCAATGCTGGCTTCTAAATTGCTTTAAAATTGTAAATGTATTAATAAAACATTATGTTCAATTGATTCCTATATATATAGTGGTGTTTCATTTTAATCGCGGAAAAAACATGGATTTGGGGGGGTTTAATCAAAGATTTTTGGATTTTTAATGGAGAAAACCAGGATCCCTGCTAATGACCAAGTGAACAGTAGCATACAGAAGGCTATGTGGCAGCGAAAACCCTCCTGCAAGATCTTTTTTTACACTTCCAAAACCTATTATCCTGGAAAGCACAAATCTATTTATGAGACTATGAAAACTGTTTAATGCTTCACTAAATGAATGTTCATTTAAAGTTTATTTAATATATAAAATTGACTATTACATTTATTTTGGTTAATACTTAGTGATGCCCCACCCCTTACACATCACTCTCTAGCTTACTTCCCTCCCATACTCAGGGTGTGGTGGACAGTAACCCTCACAACACTGGGAGGTGGGAAATAAGCTTAGCTTCGTTTTACAGACAGGAAAAACTGAAGCACACAGGGAAGGGACTTGTTCAATGTCACAACACAAATTAGTTTTACATCTGAACTCAGGAGCCCCAGGCTGTCTCCCTCCTGTCTCAGACTGTTAATACATTACTGGCTCTAGGATTATGAAGCCTGCAGTACAAATGACAACTGTAAAGCTCCATGACTGAGCCAGTAGGTAGGAATCTGAAGTCAAGCCCATGGATATTATAGCATCAGCAGGCAGAGCTGGATCCAAGCAGCCAGGCTGTCATGCTGGGACCAGCAGGTCTTGCCATACCCCCCATATTAGAAGAAAAGAAGAGGTTAAGTTCTGCTCCAGTTCAAGCCATTTGTGTGCAGCCCTCAGGGTCCTGGCATACTGTGATTTCTGCTTCAGCTGGGCAACGCCTGGGTGTCCCTATTAGTACCCTCCACCAGAATTACAACTTCTGTCCTGATCAAAAGAACAAACCAACCCAGCTGGAATAGTCACCCAGCCACCACTGCAGCAGCTTAAAAATCCTAGAGAGAAGATGGAGTCTCCAGCACAGGGGAGCTGCTGGGAGCAAATTACAGTAACTTGGGAAAGAGACAGTATGGGCACTTATACATATGACAAAGCTCTGCTCTGATTAGCACACATCAGAGTAGACTCGATTAACTGAGTGTACTGTGAGTCTGCTGAAACGTGCTAATTAGTGCACTCCAGCAGCCTCTGTATCACATCTATTCTGTGTCCCCACATTTCAAAGTGGTTGAACAAGCTTTGGTTAAAGCAACCCTGCTGCCACTTTGAAGCGTGGGACGCTGAATACACGTGACACTGTGGGTGCTTTAATATCCAGGGGTCAAAAAAACCCATGGAAAACAAAAGCGGAGCAGCACACACAGGGGCAGCACGCACCACTCAAAACCAAAGCATGGCCAGCCAGAGCCATACTGCGGCTGCCAGCCAGACTCTGAGTGGCAGAACCGCTGCTGCTGCAGCCCCAGGAGGACCTCAGGACCCCAGGTAAGCCTCTCCTACCCCACCTGGGATAAGTAGCTATGCATCAGAGGGCGTGTGGCACAGACATTCCCCAGGTGGCACAAGGTACACCACTGCTAGATGTCCCCTGGGAACCAAACATCCACACATGTGTGGACGCAGCCTAAAAGTACAGCAGCAAGCAAACCAATAAAAATGACTGTCACTCCAACTTTGCTCCCTCTCCACAGTCTCCAAATGCAAGAGGAGAATGTGTATGCGGGTACAACAATATAGCTAAATAGTTCTGACTTCTCTGAGCAGAAATTTAAAATGCTGCCATAACCAGTCAGACTCTTCTTTCTTTCAAGTTCATTTGAAAAATCAAATCACTTCATATCATGCCAGTTCACAGGTAATGGGACCATTTCCATCAATCGTTCCCTAGACCTAACTTCTAGCTACGTCTAACAAACTGCCACTGGGATGCTTAACACAAAAATGAGAAACCATTCTTGGCATTTTTCTAGAACTTTTCATCCACAGAGCTCTAAGCAGGTCCAGTTTTGCTTTATGGATTACCTCCATTTTACAGCTGAGAAAACAGATACAGTATAGCTGACTCAGCCAAAGCCAGATAGCAAATTGCTGGCGCAGCCTGGAATAAAACCCAAGTCTCCCAAATCCTAGTCCAGAGCTCTGCCCCAATGAATCACGTTACCTTGTACACTGTCTATGGAAGGATTAAGCCCTTTCCCCCCCTCTCCTTACATTTTTTTTTTTTTTTTTTTAACAAGTTTTGCCATTGTGCTACATTTGAAAAAAGGCTAAATCCAATAACCCCATGAAAAAGAAGTAATTGAATCCAGGGAGTCCTGAACAGTTAAGCCAAATTAGGGTAAGACATGCATCAGGCATTCAGTATTTATATCACTGCTTACAACTGGAAGCAGTGTCACCACTCTGACTATTTCAAACACCCCATCCCATGATTTAGACTTCTTGTCTACTAGAAGGGAAAGGGTACCTGTAGACGTGTTCCTCTTCACTGGCACGGGAGGAAGGAGAGCTGATGCTCTCTCTGGGAACAGAGGCACTGGAGCTTTTGACAGCAGAGCTGTACACAGGAGACTGGGACTGAGGCTGTGGAAATAAGACTAGTTCAGCATTTTCAGCCTCCAATATAAGCGCATACACAGCAGTGAAGTCACATGCTACGAGCTCAGTACAGAGACCAACAACAATCAGCTCCATGACATATCAGCCCCAGCCCCCACCACCTCAACTAACCCAGCAAATGTCTCATGCTCATTCTAGCCTTGCCTAAGAATTATGTCTGAGCCAGACACCCCCCAACCTGCTTTTCACAGGCTGCAAGGTGGATGATTTAATTCTAGTCACATTGTACTAGAATAGGGTTTTTGCCAAAATCATAGGGTTTTTGCCAAAACACTGATGATGACAGGGCTTCAACTGGTATTTTATCATTGATGCAGAATACCGGGTGCCTAGGCTTTCTCCTCCCACGGCTGTACCATCTTGCTGGGTATCCAGACTTCTCCCATCTCTACTCTATTCCTGTCTGGAGGACACCCAAACTCTTCCTCACTTCCTAAACCTCTTTCCCTTCCTCACACATTCCATCACCCTAGATACACCCAAGCCACAGATGCAGGCTCCCATACCCTCCCTGCAGCACATATACACTTACCTGCTGGTGGATATATCTGGAGGTAGTGGGTTGCCACTGGTCTAAAGGGTCAATCACAGTCCCATTCAGGGCCTCACTAGAAGGAGGTGGTGGTACAGGGGGTGGCACTGTAATCTCCTGGTACGTATGGTTTCCAGTTGGGTAGGAATAAGGGGTCTCCTCTGACAGGAACACTGGCCGTTTGGAGATATGTGAGGTGGTGGACTCCAGGTCCGCTAGCAAGGCATCTGCAGAGACAAAATATGAACAGCCTCTTAGTCGTGGCTACATACAGTCCAGCTGTGTTTTTGCTCTCTTGTTCTGAGATTTTTTTCATTGCAGTTCCTGTGGGTAATTAGTTGTATGCCCTGAAAAGCACTCCTGGGATAAAGATGCCATTTTCTAAAGCCCAGTACTGAACGGGTTAATAAAAAAAACTTCTGCTAAAGGAAACACCAAGAGGTCCCAAAGAAGCCAGAAAAAAACCTCTCGTTCTAGGAATTTGTCCCAACTGTGAACAGCCAGAAGCCTTCGATCTCAATGCGTTTTGCAGTGGTGAAACCCAGAAGAAACCTGCCCAGAGAAAGCCTCATGTCAGGGTATTTACACCGACAAATTAAAGGCTGCATATTATCATGAAATCATTAAATGTGGCCGCAAGTGCTGCTTTCTGCAGGAAACAAGATCTCTGGAGGGGTTTTTCTCCGGAGCTCAAGCTGGCATAATAGAGACTTAAGTTTCAATCAGGGCAGCAGCAAGCATTTGTGCTCAGCCTCCCCCTGACAAAAAAATTCCTCACTCAGCACAGAGCAAACCGCACAAACAGTTAACTGGATTCCAGTGCCTGCCAGGTAAATGCAATTTCATCTCCTGGAAACAATTCTCAACTCACTGGGTGGAGACTGCTCACAAATTCCTGAAGGCAAGAAAAAACCTCCATCAGTCAGAAACACACACACTAGCATGCATGCTAAACAGAGGGAAGCACAGCAGAGGAGGCTTATACCCTTCTCAAGAACCACCAGACTGGAGAAAGATATTCCCTTTCATCGCTGAGATGAGATGAGAAAAAGCACTGCCATCACTCCAGCTCTCTTACACTCTGCCCTACCCAGGCCAATGGTTCTGCTTCTCACTCTGACTCACAGACACATCCCAACTTGTTCTGGGCCTCCTGTCCTGTGATCTCTCCCAAGGGCCTGCTGAAATCCTTCCCCAATAATAGAAAGTCCAGGGGCTACTGCAGGTCTGGGCTGTACTTGTTTTCTAATCAAAGCCTCGCCGGCTGGGTGACCAACCCTGCAGAGGAGCGGCCGACTCCAGTGTACACCTCTTCAAAACTATTAGAAAAAAGAGGAGCTAGTCTGCTAGGGTCAGATGCATCCTTCATTACCAGAACATCATTCAAGACGGGCAGGACAGCTCAGAGATAGGGGCTGCTACCAGAGTCCAGCTCTGTAACACCACTCATGTAAGATTAAAAGATGCGGCTGCCTCTAGAAGTTCCTTTAACTGCCTTCCTCCTGCAAGCTACATGAAAAATACAGCTAGATTGCTAGAACTCAGACAAAGCACAGCTTTGAGAGTCACAGCACATCTTCAAGCCACAGGCTGGCCTCAAACAGCAGTGACAAGGCACTTCAGTGACGCTCTACTGCCCTTAGGCACGGAAGTCACTTGCCTCCTCAGAAACCACTTGCTAAATTGAGCTGCTCACACCAGCCAAACACATTCAGCTACCCTTGAAGGTGTAGCAAAGGCTCAAATAGACTCTAAAGGATAACAGCATTGCAACATGCACACAGACATGGAAGGTGCAGCTTCCCCATTCCCCAAGAGCACTTCCCCGCCATGGATCAAAGTTAAAGCATTAAAAGTACCTCGTTCTGCCAGAACAGAACAGTGCCCTGGCAGAGAGGGTGTTGCATTAAATTAGTTCTACACCTTGCGTTTAGCCCAAAAGATGCTCCAAATCATCCAAACCACAATCATCTTCATGCAGTGACCAAAATATCCCAGAAACAGATTACCCAGAGAAAGTCCTTCCACAGCTGATAAGTCATCAGTTCAACTTTTTTTTTTTAAACAAAAGAACAGCTGGTGGACTCCAGAACTCAGGACATACCGCGGGGAGCCGCTGAGGATCTGCAGTTGCTCTGACCAGGCAAGTCCTATGATGATGTGGTTCCATGTACACAATTTCCTGTACCAGTGCTATCAAAGAAGGTGCGGCTCTTTCATACATGCACTTCTCCCTACCAGTGACTAAAGCAAATCAAGCTCCACCAGAAAGCAAGAAAACCATGAAGACTCAAACCATAGGATTTTCAGTCTCAGGGCTGCAAAGAAGCAAGACTCCTGTCCATGGCAATGTGAATACATCTATATTCCACTGCTTTTCTCCTACTAAGGGACAAGCACAAGTAACCCCCCTTCCTTATCACAGAAATAACTCTGCATAGCTTTCTCACCCATCAACGAGAGGCTGGGCAATTTCTGCCAATTTCTCTTATTTCATAAAACTAAGTGAAACTGGCTCAGTGAACCTGTTTAGTCCTGTGCATTTGTGCACGTGTGGGGCGGGGAATCTGGACATGACCACTCTACTCAGCCTGTGAAAGGGTTAAGAAGCAGACATTACACTTTAATGATTAACTCCCCCCCCCCCCCCCCCCCCCCCACCTCCTCCCATAACCTCCCTCTTCCTGACTTGAGCAAACACTGCAGAGCTGAGAAACAGGAAGCTGAAGGAGGAGGGGAGAAGGACTGGAGGGGGAATCACTCACAGTTACTCAACCAGAGACTAAGGGCTGGTGACAAATTGTGCTTCAGCTTCAAAAGTGATCTGGAAGCAGTTACGCATCCCCTAAAGTCTGTACACATTGGGAAACTAAGACAGGGAAGTTTATCTGCCCTCTACAGAGCAGAGAGATCGCCACCCAGGACTCATTGTAACAATCAGCACAAGAGCAATGCTCAGTCCATATGCTAACTTCAGGAGTACATCAAAAATCCCGCTATCAACAAAGGAAATTATTCAATCTTTCTTTTTTTTGTCTACAGTTTCTTTCACCACCAAAGTGCTCAAAAACACTTTATGCCTCCTGAGGTTTATGTCCAGCTGAGACAAACATGCCCCTCTCTCAATGACACAGAAAAACAGCCAAACTTATGCTTTGAAGGGAAAACTGACCCAGATCTCACACTAACTCCCAAAGAGATAACAGGGCCCAGGTAGTCATAGCTTGCCACACTGTGCCAGACTTTGGGACAACATCATGAGAAGTAGTAGCCCACCACACAGGCTGCTCCTAAGGATGTTAAAAGCTTCAACTGATTTCTTGGTTAATGAAGGGGTTCCCTTCTTTGTGCCCCCGGCATCCTCTCCTAGAACAGACAGCACAAGTGAGGCAAGGATAAAACATCTTCACTAAATAATTTCAACATGTTAATGGATGCCGATACTTTATACCACTGCTGGCCAAGAGAGGGCATCATTACATCTCTACACTCACAGCAAGGTGGAACTTGATAGAGCATTTGCTAACTTGGCAGCAACATAGCTCTCCACTTGTTCAGTTCCAAAGAGCCAGGAATCTGCCCTTACCGCCAGCTCACGCACTGACCTCTGTCAAGCCCACTTACATTGCAACAGCTAACCCTGCAAAAGCCTGCACCCATGATCCAGCGCACACTGTTGAATTGCTAGGACTGCAACCTCAACCTGAAATGTCAGTAATTACAGCACACATAGCAATAATGTTACAGTCTGACTTTTGATTTTAACATTCCCTGTTGGAGAATTTCTAGGGTAGAAGTAGAGCTTTAGCAGATAGAAACCGTCCAAGGTCAAAAGGGATCAGAGGCTTCCTTCCAGGGAATGGTTTTGGCACTCTTGTAGTAACTGGATCGGTACAATATAATACTAGAATATCAGTTTACTGCGTCCTCACTGGAACACCCTTTCACAGGAAACAAAAAGGAGGGCAGGCTCTCGCTTCTCAAGAAAAGAGGAGACAAATGTAAGGTGCCTTGCAAACCAAACTCCCACAGATTCACTGCACAAGAGACCTGGGGGCAAATGCAGTGAATCAACACTGTCCACTTACTAGTTACTAAACAGAAGCATGAGAACCACAAAGAAAACTATAGCTGCTGCCCTCTAACATCGGGACTTCCATTTTTACTCTCCTGAAGTCAGATCTCTTAGTACTAGCACTGCTGTCACACAGGATGTGTAGAAAAGGGGGAACCTACCAAAATGATACTGATCTGTGCCAACTCTACCCTCCACCCACATCACTCCACTCTCACAGCTTGTAAAGTACTGAATCAATTTTTATAGATGAAAGACAACTAGGCAGCCCCAGCACTCAAGCTTGAGACTGCTTTACAAGGTTATACCTTGCTCTCTACACACACGGATTCTCTCCCCAAGGCCACTAGACAGTTGACTGATGACCTTGGCCAAAAGTACGTGCTGAGCCAGCTCATAAGCTAGAAGCAAACAGCAACCTAACTAACTTTCCTGTAGCAAATCAGATGGGAAAAACGAGGAGCCCTAGCTTGATCAAACCAAGCCTAAAATGGACTCCAGCTTCAGCTCAGAGTGCATGCCTCACAGATTTCAGAGGGCAAAGCACTCGCATTCAAGCAGTTATTCTCTACCAGTTTTCCTCTGATATGAGGGATACTTAACGAATTATCGAAGACATGATACCAGGTATTACAACATCACCCAGTTGCAGTTGAGCACTAGGACCTCAGCTGGCATTTCCATCATGAAACATTGCCAATAAATAATAATTATGCGCTGCAGTGTCCCTGCTATTCTGATCTTTGAATCCCACATGCAGCTCTGCCAGTGGAGTTTGTTACGAACTGGTGGCACTTAATACTGACTGCATTGCCTCAAGGTAGTTCCTGGCAACTGCCGATGTTGTCAGTGATTTCAACTGTTGGGAACAGCAGTTCTCAAACTGTGGTACATGCAGCACGGGGTCAGTTATACAGAATGAGACAGGTAGAGTAAGGATTGCGAAATCAGGCCCACCACAGGATTTGCCTTATAAATAGGCAAAAAAGATAGAGTACTTCTTAGCATAAGTCTGTTACCAGTCCAAACAGCTCCGCAAGTGTTAATCATCTCCAGAAGCAAGGCAAAGTTAGACACTGTACATTCCTGCCCTATCTCCCCTACACTGCACTTGCACACGCACACCCCAATGTCAGACAGAAGAATAGCTCA